GAGGGGTGTTACAATTGGTATCAGAGCACGTTTCTGCGTCTCTGATAAGTTTTCAGTCAGTAATTTTTCAGAAAAACCTGAACCGTCATGCTCACGCCCCACCGACGACAGGTAAGTGCTGATTCAGTTTTCAGTTATACACATATTACTTTGTCTATGCTCCGAATGGAGGATCAGGACCTTAGTTAAGATGCTCGAATAAGGTTCAGATTTTAGAGTTCGGACATGACTCTAGAATTCAGGCATTCAGATATGACTCTAGACGTTAGGACTTCCTACATGACTCTAGAGTTCTTCAGGTTTCATGTCAGTATTTATCGGCCACTTTTAGCTACTCGTCAAGAGATTTGTGTGCCTTAGTAATTAGCCAGAATGTTATCACGTATTCAGTAATGTTAAACTTTCTCAACGTTCAGAGGTCGGCCCGTAGGGAATCCGATTACCCGACTCCTACTCAGGCCACCGTAGTCGCACAGTTCCGCGACTATCATGTTGAGAAATTCTCCGGGGGAGATCCCCGTCTCATGGGCGAGTGGATTCAGAACCTTAGAAAAAGAATTAAGTTTAAGAACTCTAGATTTAATTCTAGATTCACTCAAGTCAAGTTAGCAACTTGTCAGAAGATTTGTAAGCACTCGTGCTAAACAAATCTTAATAATCATGTTTCTCAAATATTTTTATCGAGAACCGCCATTTTGTCAATCAATTGGCAGACTCCAGGGAGAAATTCCTTGATTTAATTCGAGGAATAAACTCAAAGTTCCTAAGTCAGATCAGTAAGTCATGTTCAAGGCAAGAATTTTCATGTTAAAGGTTGTTATAATTCTCAAGTCATTGTTAAGGTAACGGTTTCCAGTGTATAAGAGTCAATAGTCCGGGTTACCATGGAGGCTTGAAATAAGAGCAACTCAGCCGGGTTTACCATGGAGGCTTGAAGCTGGGGCCGAATCAGTAAGATTTCAGGTAATAACAACCTTCCAAGTTAGTCATGGATATTTTATCAGTCATGATATTTTAAGTTATAACTTTCAGAAATCAAGATCAGCTAATTACTTTGTACTTGCGGGACCAGTCGACACTGGAGCAGCCCTATACAGTACAGAGTTCAGGTTCACGATTTACAATTTATGTTCATGATGTAAGGTCGACGTTAATAGTTGTTCAGCCGGGTAAAATGTGGCGGTCTGACATACAGACCATTAGTCCAGATTTACCTGGAAACTTGAAGTCGCACCTTATCAAGTCAAGTAAGTCAGTAAATATCACGTTTTCAATCTCGAAGCGACTATTTAAGTTGTCTCGGGATAGTTTTCAGAGTTCGGATAAAGATGATTCAGTCATGTGAGAGTCAAGTCATGGTTATTCAGTCATGAGAGTATTCAGGTCAGTCATGTTAAGATCGAGGATAGTTTGTCTAATAAGACAAGACTTATCCATCATTTTCAGTATGTCAGCACCTCGATTCTCAAATTCTGAAGAATCTGAGAAATCGTGGGAGATATTAAGTTATGAGGGACTTCTTCTTGAGGTTAAGTTTAACCTCGGAGGGAGTAAAAAGTTGCAGGTACCACAGGTTGACATTCGCCGCGATGAAGAAGAGCCAATCGACAACAACAAATCGTGCCAGGATGGTAAACCGACGCTTTCCACCCCAAGGATGCCATGCTTGAGTCACAGTACACTGAAAGGTTGCAGAGAGTTAGTATTAACGTACATTGAGGTTACTAGCTTGAGGTATACGATCAGATTACGTCGACGGCGCAGGTGCAATGTTCGCAAGGTGCTGTATGCAGGCGTGCCGCACTCACTTGATGAGGAGCAGGTGTGCCGCATT